CATTTCGCACTAAATGAGCTAGCATGTTTCACCATCTGATTATTTAAAGATTTCCTCCGAATGGAAGGCCGGGCCGCCGGCCTGGTTATGTGATGGACTGGCACCCAGCCGTGAGGGACAGGTTTGGGTCATAATAAGCTTTTATATTTCATGCTGAAACAAGCAGTACTACAAATGTCATTTAGGACTAGTAACATGAGGCAGGATCACAGTGCTACAGCCTGGCGCTGGGTCTCATTCGCTCTCTCTCTTCGTCTGGCACCATTGTGGGTTTGTATGTTATCAGATAAAGGGATTGTATGATCTTTCCTTGTTGAGCACCATCAGTGTGCACATTACACGTGGACAGCCCGTGTCGTGTTTCAGAAATGAACTGAGGTGAACCTGCCTTTGGCTTTCTAGAACATTCACTACACGAGCCAGCAGCCTGGGCTACTTCAGCACTGCAGGGTAAGAAGGGCCACATATTCACACACAGACTGGAGTAACAGCCATTGTGGGCAATGACATCTGCTCCATTGGCAGATTACCAACTCCATTTTCTGATTTGTCTTCAGGCTAAAATGTATCAAATGTACTGAGATGATGGGAATGGGTGACCTGTCTGGAAAGTGAGCAGCCACCTGCAGGATAAATGTTACAAGTTAAGCCCAAGTGACAGTGGCTCCTTAAAGGCTGAAATGACGCTGTGTGTGCCCACTAAGGGCTGGGCATCCCAGTGCTGTGCTGCCTGAAGGATCTGGGTTTATTCTCTCCTTCCCCTCTACTCTCCTCTATATCTACAGCTTAGATCCGCTACTGAAAATATCTATATCTAGATCCTTTTACTGAAAATATCTATATCTAAGACTTATTTCCTAAGATTTCTTATGGCAGTTGTGTTTCATTAATTACAGAAGTTGGAGTATGTTACAATTAAATCTTTAACAAATTTCTAGCCATTACAGTTTAAAATCTGTCCGGGTTTTTCCATTACCCCTGTTTAATTCTTAAGCAGTGCAAATATGTGTGACCCTTTGTGTTCTTCAGACCTAAGTAGTGAATTTGAACTACATCACAATTGTTTAATCATTTGAAAGTCTCTTGATATCACTGTTCAGTTTATACATGTGCTTTTTCTTTTTTTAAAAGTCTCTGTAGTTCTGAAAAGTAGCCCAGTCGTTGACCTGGGCTGCTCGGTCGCATATTAATGTGTTCCAGGATTATTCACATCATGAGTTACGCTGAAAAGTAAGACTGCTAATGAGACTGCAGAGTTCGGGGCTGCTGACTGAGTCATTATAAATCACTCAAGTTACTTGCACATGTACTAATTACTCTCTGACATCATTGACGGTTTTGCTCTTTTGTAGCCACTATTGAGTTATAATAGTTCACCTATGATACTTCTAAAATTCCCCAGCAGCATATTGGCTGTGGCATATTGGCTGATTGCACTCGCCACTGTGTTCATTAATGCCTGCCCCATTTGAGAAATGAACACCTGCTTCACCCAGCAGGATCTCCTCGGATCTCTAAGAAGGCTGGGTAGCCCAAGCTGTGCATAAGCACACGACAGTGTGTGTTGGAAGTCCTCTCATCCACCAGGACACTCTGCAGCTACATTCTCCTCAGCCTGGGACTTGTGAGCATCCCCAAGTCCTTCACCTTGGTGAGCTCCAGAGCCAGAGAAAGCCTGACCCCTGTGTGTGGAGCTAAGGACACCTACACCTAACTGGTATCTTTCTGTCTCCCACACTAACTTCGACTCCTTTTTCTGAAACCCCTCTCCATAACTAGCATCTAATCTGTCTGGGTCCTTCCCACTCCTGCCTACAGGAGGTCTGTACCTGACCTCCACTTTTCATCTGGTGGGTGCTTAAACCACACCATGGTTCCATATAGCAATTTTAGGGGTGAGTCCAGCCACGTCACATGGCTGCCCAATGAACGCCACCCCAAGGCTGGACTGCAGGGCTGGGTCCTAGTGAACACATTCCAGGCTGGGTAAACTGGTTCTTTTTGGTACCTTGTATTAGGGACCTTTGTTATATTGTGATTTTTTTGGCATCTACCCACAGACCTCTTCTCCACGGGAGGCCTGACCAGAAGCTCAAGCCCCAGACGGCATAGTTTTGAGCATCATTAAGACACTCAAACATTTCAACCACACCATGCTGGCCCAACCGTCTTCAGGACCCTAAGCAAAATTTAATTATCCTGTCATTTGTCATCTTCCTTGCCATTCTGACTGGCTGATTAAAATGGAGCCCCCTGGTGGCTGCTGGGCCCTAAGCAGCCTGCTTAGTTCACTTATTTCCTGAGGCCAGCCTTGGTCGGCATCACTGCAGTGGCACATTATTCATTAAAAAATGAAACACCATGAAACCGGTCAGGCTTTAACCAGGTGGCAAGTGAAACACTGTAACAGCAGTTAATGAGTGTTGGACCTCTGTCAGAGCCACCGAAGTGGCATTAAAAATGACTGGAACCAAGATTTATTGCAGTGTTGAGAAGACTAAACTTTTGCTTACAGATATGCAGTTTTAAATGTTCCTTTTCATGAAAGAATCAGCTTGGAGAGAAATGCAGCATGGCAGCAGTCGGAACAGGATACCTCCTGCCCCGGGACTTGGGCCCCCCTGTGAACAAGGTAAACGTGCGAGTGCTTCTGTACAGCTGCAGTTATTTATAGCTATATTTGTACTGAGATAGGTTTATCGTTGGGCTTTGACCCCAGTCGGGGCACGGCTATGGCTGGATGCATGTCAGTTATCGCCTCATCTCCCACCATTGAGCGGGGTGAAGCTGTTTCTGACACGCTTCCTTTTGAGATGCATGTACCCGTTTTTCCACAGAATGCAGGCTGAGGGCTCTGAACAATGCGGCCAGGCCCGGGAGGACGGCACGCTGAAGAAACTGCACGTAGCGATCCCCAGGCCTCCCCCCTCCCGGCCCACCCCCTCCGCCAGCTTCCTCCCATTCACCACGTCTCCACTTTCCCTCCTGATAAAGAGCACACACAAATCTATCCAGCACAAGAAGAACAGAAATGTGGTAGGTTGATTGTTCTGGAGATAACAGGACTGAAGTGTTATTGTGACAGACAGTTTGCAATAGTGTGCAGCAAGCAGAGTCAGGGTCCGTGTCTCTGTTCTCCCCTTCAGATCTACTCTACACTACAGTAGCTACAACCTCTCAGATCATCTCCGGTCTGAGTTTCCCTTCTTCCAGGGTTAGGGCTGGTCTGGTATACTGGGCATTTTCCCAGTGGGCCAACAGGTATTATGATGGGGGCACCCCCTCCCCCCACTATCCGTTTGGCAAAGTTTACTGTGCGGGATCCAAAAGTCCAGGCCTGATTTTTAATCCCAGTCCAGCCATGGACTGGTTTGACTAATTGGAAACATATTCCATCAATTCATCCACAGATGTTGGTCCTGAGAATCCATTCCCGGGCTGAGAGTGTGAGCCTAAACGCCAATGTAGCACAACTTTCACACAAAGCATCTTTTGAATTTATGCTGCATTTTGTGCTTGAGTTGTGAAACCCCTTCCTGTCTTGCTCTTTTGGGCCATCAAAGATTCTTTCAATTGCACTTTATGAACCTTAATTTTGAAAATAATTACCACCATGTACATGATTAGAATAATAAGCATATAATGTGTTAAATAGTGTAAATTGGTAACAGGGACCGTGAAAGGTTCAGACCAAAATAACAGACAGTTAGCCTTGTCTGGTGTGACTTAGATGTTCAAGGATGAGCAGATTAAACAGATATAAAGCAAACACAGCATGTTGTGCAGAGAAGGAAGCTGAAATCTCAGGTAGGTTTTCCCTATCAGCATGACTTTTTAATGCTTGTTCTTTGGATCATACCTTTTGTTAGTTGTACTGTGAAATTGAGCTCTCCAACACTTCACATTGTCTGCTCTTTCCGTTCAGTATGAATTACAACCAGTGAACTGAAAAGGACTAATCTGAACAGATGAACGGATATTTAGTTTCAGAGACATGGCTCATTTCAAAATTAGTATGCAATAAAGATTATTAAAAACTGTAATATAAATTTCTAATTGTATTTTAGTCTTGCGTAGGAGTTGTTTTCAGTTCCTTGAATAAAATGTACCAGTATAAGTGATATGTTAAAAATGAATATGAAGTTATGAAGTAAGTTAATCTTCGCACCAGCATCTATGCAACCACAGCTAGTCAGTTCGCTCTCTGCCTCTTCTGAAAACCAGCCACACCAGGCTAATAGCTGGTTTAACGTTTTGTGTCCCAGCATACCGAATGGCTGCTTGCTCTCCAGGTTTTAGTTCTTTTTGCCCCGTGGTTTAGTTTGGGTTATCGCCCCCTAAGCTCGCTATATTGATTTTGTGACTTTCTGCCTGTGTTTAGACCACGGATTTGGGTCACCATTTGGATCTGCTTGCCATTGTTTGTCTCTAGCTCGTTTTTTGACCCTTTGCCTGCACTTGGATCCTGGAGTATTTAAAGAGAAATGATGAATTGCATTTAATAAGTAATCACATTTCTTGTAGACTTTCCAACTTCCAATGTTGTGGTTATTTAAAAACCCGAGAGAGCAATAAAGACTTATTTCCAGTCTTTCTTATGGTATTGGGTTTAGAAAGGTAAATGTTAATTTTCACACTCAGAGACTCAGGTCCGTTTTTTTTCTGAAGAAAACAAGCCAGTTATGTCAAAATAGTCAAGCAGCCATTTGTCTAATCTAGCAGTCTCTTACTAAAATTAAAATTTGAAAAATGTTAAATAATTTCCTCAGATTTTTATTGACATTTGCTCATTTAGATGATATTATTATTATGTTTTTTTATTTTAAATCTGTTTTTATTTTCAATTTGAAGCAATAATTTTACACATATTTAAAATTCACTGCAAAAATAACTATTAAATGCCTTATTTAAGCACACGACAGGAGGGCAAACACTCAAATTCCTAGTTATAAACCTAAGGCAGTATCGTATCTGACGCTCCAAGGATAACAATTGTTGTGTGTGACAGTGACATTGGACTTTTTCTTTATATTGTTCTCTAATTCTCGCGTACTGACACCGGTCACCTGCCGGGTTTCCAGGTGGAACGGGACTTCCGAGATACCTGCGGGCGCCGGACTGATTTCACTGTTGCACCGTAAACTTTGATAGCACCGGGAAGAGGGACCTTGTTCTACTCCCAGAGTAAGAGCCTTTATAGGCTTATGTATAATGACAGTTTTCATTAAGAACTTAGTGTTTTTCTCCACTCACTATAAAAATATTACTTTAATCTACTGTATTGCTGTCGTCGTGAAAATGTCCGCCGTATCGGCCGCATAGCCAGCAAACTTTATACCTGTTCTGTGATATCTGAGCTTGTGTTTCTCCTTCAGGATCGAGTTCAACATAGTGCAGGTGTCTTCTTGGTAGATGCCTGTGTTGTTATTTGGCTTTCTGGTTGACATTAGCTTTTTACTCTAGCCGTTTACCTAGCGGGGTGGTGTAGAGTTTTTATGATTCAGCTTTTCATATTTTTTGGGTCATTTATAGCATGTGTTATTCTGGGGAATGGCGCCTGGTCTGGTGCTCCCAGGGATGCGAGAAATCCACTGAGGCAAAGCTGTTTTGGTGTGTTAATCTGATTAATCTGCTTTATCTTGTTCGTTAGCCACAAACTCACGTACTCCTCGGCCCAGGTGACTCTCGGAGTAGTACTGTCCAGTAGAGCAGCACCTCTGATTCACCTAGTTAGTTATTTATTTTCTGAAGGTCTCCTGCTTATCTATTTGCTGTCGTTTTTTATGGTTTACTCGGTTGCTGTATTATGATACAGATTCCAAAAGTAATGTTTATTTCACCCGGGGAAACAAACAGTTTCTTCTTTCTTCCATGAAATGTACCCAGATGCATTTTTCCACAGTAGCTAATAATATGCAACAATGAGGTTTATGAGTATATAGTTGAGAGAATTTCTTTTGTTATAATCGTGGATTTGCAGTGTCTCTTAACTGGGTTTACTTAAATAATGAAAGGGATTATATGTGTGCTGTGATACATACTGTTACTGTGCACATAATAGGAATACTCCATTCCATATAAATAGCTTCAGAGTCTGTTGGGAAGGAAAAGTGGAAGGTAAACATTGTAAGCATTGTGTCATCTTGGGTGAGGTTATTTGCCAAGTAAATAAATCTTGGCTTATATAATGCTGATCTGGTTTTGGCAGCTCAGTTATCTGTTAAGTATATTGTGAAATAAATGTCATGTCTTACTATATAAGGCTGTGTATCTTGTGAACTTGTCTTGGCTAGTTGTTCATATTGCAGGAAAACTAATACTAAAGTATTTTTCCTTGGAGAAAAAGCACATACATCTCATTTAGTAATTTGTAGTAAATGATGGATGCTTGAATAAAGTTTCCTGACAGAAATGAAAGATTTGACATTAATAATTATTTCATATCTTGGAACAGCTACATTTACAATTAATGCATAGTCTTCATATAGTTTATTTAAAAATATATTTTATTGTATATTTATAATCTGTCTTCAGGCGTTTCTTTTTCTGGATAGCATATGTTTTCTTAGAATAAAAATAAAAGACGTTACCACTTTACAATAAGGCTCCCTTTTGCCACTTGTAAATGGTAGTAACTCATTAATAAAAAGAAAACTGTTATAACTTGTTTAAAATTGTCTATTGATAATTTACAAAGTGTTACAACCTAATTAATAACCAGATTGTAAACCATTTATAAACTCTTTATATGGGTAGCCTTATTGTAAAGTGGCACCTAAAAGACTTCTTGATATTCACAGGATTGTAACAAGGAAAACTATGATGGCTCCCATCTGTAACTCCTGTCCTCGGGGAAAATGCCTGCTGTGATTTGATGGCCTGCAGTGTGATACACTGATTCTATTAGGCCAGATACAACCTTTTTCTCAGAGACCCTGCTTACATTCATCCCTCTTTCAACACCCCATAGTTTTTCATAAAGTATTAGCAGTATATAAGCAAATGCAGTAAAGCTCAAAAACTGCACTTGCAGGTCTTGATGATAGGTATGGTTTATGTTGTGAAATATTGTGGTTGAAATGGCACGTCTTCCATATTTCTGTGTCGCCATCTTTCCAGAATGGCCCAAACGGACACCAGGCTCCTGGTTTTGGGTGCCCTGGCTGGGGCCGCTGGTGTCAGCTTGGCGGTGATCTGGTACCGGAGCCGGCAGCAAAGCCACATCAGGAGCCCCCCCACACCACATCTCTCCAGCAATGCCCTGTGGGCCGGCCTGGGCAGGGGGCCGCCCGTGGAGCTGTCGTTGGACAGGCAGCAGGAGATTCAGGAGCACCTGTGCGCCCTCGTCCAGTGTGTCTCCGAGCTCAAGGAGGAGGTGCTGGCTTTGAAGAAAGCCCTCCCTCAGCTCCAGGACCTGGTGCAGGATGAGCTGCGTGGGCAGCGCTCTGCCTCTGGACCCCGGACCCCTCGCCGGAGGAGGGTCCCTGGGAGCAGCAGGGGAGAGAGGGAGAGCTCCGAGGAAGGCGAGAGCGAGGGAGGGTGGGTATGCTTGATGTCCAATGAAACATCTCTGTGTTCGTTCAGACCATTCCACATAGCAGTAGTAACACCAAGAGAAGCACTATCATGTATGACTGATCTTGTATTGCTTCTTTACATAATGATCTGCGTCACAATTGTCACCAACTGACTGATTTCCATAATGATTGATTTAGTTGCCCCTAACTGGAAATTCAGATTATAAACCAGCAGAAATAATGTCACTCTTGCAGAGGTGTTGGCTCCTACTGTGGAGTTATACCTTCCTATACTTTGGCTGGGTGGTTGGATGTCTTTCATCGCAATCCTCTGGCAACACAACAATGTGCTGAAAGTTGACGATCCGCCGTAAGTCGCTTGGATGAGTCACATGGGCAGATGCTCTTCTGTCTTAATGTGCCACACGAAAGTGGGAAGCTGAGCTCGCCGTTCGGTCGACCCAGACGCCCCGCTGCGTTTTCTCCCGGGGTCTCTCGCCAGAGGTGCTCTGCCCCTTAGTTGATCCGTGTTGTGCCCCAACTGGCAGGTCTGCGATCCACCTTGGTGCCTTTAAAGCGCCTTCCTCTTCTGCCAAGAGCCAAATATCTTGATCCCATTCCAGGACGAGGTAACATAAACAGTTTTTTTTTCCCAATTCAAGAGAACAAAACATTAACAGGAATATCATGGAGCCTATCGCTGAGGCATTATGTCTTTCATTAGGAGTTTCTGTGTGTTTCAGCAGTTTTTTTTTCCCCCCTTCCTGAAGTGCCAGCACTTTACCGGTCTGGTCATACTCTGAATGTAACCCAGTTCTCCGTCGCTAACACCTGCTTTCGGCAGCTTTGAAAAAACAAATCCCTCCATGCAGTTTTGGACCGAAGCCACAGAGCTGTAAGAGAGCAGAGACTCGGACTGACAAATGCATGTGCAAAGCAGAAAAACTCAAACTTTTAAAGGGCCGGCGGTGAAAAGCATACAAATTGTTGCAAGTAAAACATTGTACTTTTAAATGGCGAAATAAAAAAGGCTGCTGCTTTTTAAAAGGCTTATCAGTTGCCTTTTTACCACATATCAACTTCCTGGGTGGCCTTTATCAGTCTGCATGCTATATTGTGCTGATTGGACACGCCATCCAGAAAGCTGTACTTTCATTGGTCAGGGACACTGACTGAGGACACTGAGTACAGTATCACTGGAATTACTTAGATATGGATTTTGTCGTATCCTGAGCTCTTCTGCATCTCTGGGATCGCTCCCCCAGTGTGGATCCCCTTACAGCCAGTGCTGTGGTTACCCAGAATCCTGTGTGCTGTGTCATCAATACCGTAATGCGCAGGTCTTCATTTACAAGCTCAGGATTGTTAGCAGCAGTTTGTTTTATCATGATTCATCTTTGGTAATACTGAGGTCTGCGCCGTGATGTATTTCGATTAGCTGGGGTGGGTGGCGGTCAGTCATCTTGATGTTTGAAGCAGTGTGTTTTATTCATCGGAAGGTGATAATGGTGGATCTTTTGACACCTTAATCGCGAGCACTTCGTTTCGGTGGCGTGCCTGTCACCGCGCACACCAGTGCCAGCAGAGGAGACAGGATCAGCGCCCCGAGGGCAGAATTTCTCCATGGGACCTGCATGGGCTGAGGTCTGAGGATCTGAGTCATGCTTAGCGCAGTGCGTCTGTTCAGACGGTACATAGACCCGCTAGGCTGTAGGCGACCAGGGCAGCCACGTCCACTGTGGCCTCATCCAGGTGGGGTAGGAGCCTGAGATGGGGAGTGCATGCTGCAGCTGTCAGGGCACTGGGATTTGGCATGGGGGTGGGCGATATCGCATGAACTTTTCTCTATAGAAGGCGACAAGAAGGCCAACATCAGACTGGCCCTTTAAACTGTGTCTCCCAACCACTTAGATGGGAGTCTGCCACTCCTCTAACAATCACAGCGTCTAACAATCGAAGCAGAAAGTTAGTTTCTCACAGCCGGTAAAAACGATTGACAATCTAGTATTTACCCTATGGGTGTCATTAAGGGAACAAACATTTTTTTCTCTCAACCTAGAGTTGGCTGTCCGCACAACTAACGCAAATATGCTCGATATCCATCCTTAAAACTGTCGGTAGGGAGCTTTTAACCCTCGGAATGGGCACTAGGTGTAAACTTTATATAATCTGCTCAGATTTTTATCTTGGTCTGTGTTAATAAGAACTGTTACTTTCTGGTTTTTTTTGTTTTTTTGTTTAATCCCTCTAAAAATCCTGCAGTAATGCTATGTTAATGCTAGCTGGTAAGGTAAATGCGGACTGTGGGGGATATTGAACATCTGTTCAAATATTTCATGTGGGCATGAGGTAAGAAATATAAGGGGGGGGGGGGAATCTAATTATCGATTAACAGGTACACACTTATCGACTTGCAGCTGTATCAAGCCAAGAAGTTTGGTCTACAGTTGTTAATTTTAGAGTAAAATAACTGAAAGAAACCACACAATTTAGCAGTGCCATTTGCTTTTGAGTCCGACTGATTATCTCTTAGTGTTCCCCAGGCAACACATTACACAGCCAGAAGAGGGATGTGGATGGGTTAAATGAGCAGTTTTTGGGCATGGTAATCCCCCCATGATGTCCAGTGACAGTGTGATGTGGATGGGTTAAATGAGCAGTTTTTGGGCATGGTAATCCCCCCATGATGTCCGGTGACAGTGTGGGCGTCTCTCTGTCCCCACGTTTTGCCTTGCCATAGCTGAAGTGATGTGGTGATGTCATCTGGCTCCAGAGCATAGTTCAGTACATTATAATGTAACAGGTCTGTCTAAACACATATACCAGCACAAGGGCCCCCTGCCAGTCCCCTCTGGGGGAGGGGGGGTAGAGGTATCTTCTCCCCCCATCAGTACTGTACAGCTGGCCAGCTGTGTTGTATCCCCCATACCAAAAGGGGAAAGAACAATTTTAAGATAATCCTTGTAGACTTTCTACTAACTGGATTTGAGGAGATTATGCTCTGCATAGCTGGTAAGACATGCCTCATTTGTATGCATTTTCAGCAGTAAACGATAAGAAGCTGTTGCATGCGTGCAGACAGTCCGCAAAGCCCTCCTCGATGCAGACCCCGCATCGGCCAAGACCTGCGTCTGCGTGCTAATTACCGAGCAGCACCTGGCGGCACCTGGCAGCACCGGGGCCACGCCGGCAAACCCGCGCCGTACCTCTGCACACGGGAGTCTCGCACTGTTTGCTTTTCACCTGTTAAAACAGATTCTTCCCCCTGTCCGGACCTGAGGAAGCCACAAATCTCAGCCGCTGTTTGCTGAGCGGGCCGCCAATTTACCCGCATCCTGTAGCAACTCGTCGCTCCTGTGGTTTTGCTCCCTTAAATGATAGCATTTGTTTATATAAAGCTTTCTGTTGAAATTGGCACGGCGACATGATAGGGCCTCAAGAGGTTATAGATCCTCGCCTAAAAATCGAAAACCAAAGGGGGGGGGGGATGGTATGTGATTGCCGTTTACTGATTGGCCTCATAAACGTTGCCTTGTGTCCATATTTCATCGTTCAGTTCCATCAGATGTTTTTTCCATTTGAAATGTCGTGCCGTTACCTGCCGCTTGCACTCTTCTGTGCTTATTTGTGTGGAAACTGCATCGCTGTGCTTCAGTGGCTGGGGATGCCCCTCGTTAAATCCGGCGTCATTATACCTCATCAAGTAGACCTTGTTATCTCTCCATCTGCGTATTTTCTATGCTTTAGGCTTCAAAGACACTCTGCATCGTTCATATTAAACACTTTGGCAGGACTTAGTTACAAGTACAGAGGTTGTTCAGTTGTAATTATTGTCTTATGTTTTCTCCCTCCTGCCTTGTTTTTTTTTTATTTTACATTATTGGAAGAGAAGATCTTGCCCATTGGCATTTTGGCAAACTGGATGAAAAGGAACCCCACTTCCCTAATGAAAGATTCTCCTTAGCGAGACGGTTGTTTTGGCCAAAAGAGAGAGCTGTAAAATCGGTTTGTGAATTCCTGTCTCTGTTCAAAGGGCCAGTTGTTTGTGGGTGTTTACTCATAGCTGCTGGAATGTAGTGGAGGAAACCTGTCTGTTCTTTAACATCCATAAAACTTACCTTGAAACCATCTCACGTGCTAACTGCATTTCTGACGGAGATTAAGCTGATGTCTGAGAAAGTACGGTCTGCTTGGACCTCAATTGTCAGATCAAACTTTGTTTTATATACTTTTGTATTTGCGGTCTGTAGCTCTTAGGCAAGTTCCTGTCACCCTGCAGCTCCAGAGCTAATTTTGTACCCCTAGGCTTTCTTATTTCACTCTCCACTGGGGGGTGGGGGGGTGGGGGTGTGGGGTGACCTCAGCCAAATACAGAGCTCCCTGTAAATGGTTGTGATGGCAACCTTTCTTCCAGGGTGTTTTGTTGGCCATTTCTCTTGGCTACCTCTTGACAGGCATTCTACTTGTGGGGGTTTGGCTGAATATCGAAAAGCTCAGCTACCGATTCTCTTCCCGTTAAAGTGTCACCCCGTTCCCGACAGCAAGCATAAAAACAAAACGTGTTTTCAGACTAAAGAAAAGTTCAGGAACGTGCCAGATTGAAGCTGAGGGGTTTTACTGTCTATTTGTAAATCCTGGTTTCAGCTCGATGCCGTGAGCTTTGCACCATGAACTCAGGAAAAGAAATGCTTGGTAAATTGTGCCAGACTTCTTTTAATGGTGGTAGCTATGTTGGGATTTGTAATCTTTCTAATTGCTTATACATACACAGATATTTGTGGTGTCAGTAGTGTTGGAAATGCTCAGGGAAGGGGTTGCGTGTCAGTTTTTATCTTGCTGCGATATTTTTACATAAAAACATCTCAAAGTACAAGTGGCAGAACTTGATATTCGGCAGAAAGGAATAAAATTTGGCCTCTAGGCCCATGCAGTAGGCAGAGCGCACCTCCTAAACATGGAGATCGGTGGAAGAACATATATTTTATACAACCGCCTGCAGTTTAGCGTTGGCTGAAACCCAGGGTCATGAGCGCAACCGCACTACTTACCACTGACTTGGCTAACGTCAGGTTTGCATAAATTGCTTCCCTGTTGTGAGGCATTGTTTTAGTAGTTATGTTAGCCTGAGGTAATAAATAGACTTATTATGGAACAGTGAGCAGACTATGCAGTTGCCTAAATCTCACTTTGAAGGCCTTACCTTTGAATGCAGAAAGAGAAACCGAATAGCAATCATGGGCGAATTGCATGCAGGGTTGATTGCAAATAATGAGCATCTTCATCTTCACAGGGACGGGAGCCTTAGTGAGGTCACTGCATTTGGCTGTGTTGATAATCTCCCGCAGCCTAGTCGCCCTCATCATGGCTGCTGTGTAATACCGTGATACGGCTTTCACAGAGTTGTGGTTTTTATATATCCGGTTAAGCCACTCCAGTGAGCTGTAATTTTCAGTGATAAAATATATTTTAGTGTTCCTTTGGTTCCTATTGCTGTTCTCTTTAAATAAACAAGAGCCCATTCATTGGCCCGCAGTCGTTTATGTGTTTCTGGCTGGACCTGTCAGGTTATCTCCCCCCTTTCTTTGCTTGGTGAGGTTTGGGAGCAGCCAGGTGTCCCGTTGGTTTCATGCTCCTAGTGTTTCCAGCCTGGCCAGGGAGGCTGTCGCTGGAGGCGGGCATCAGCACTACTAAATCCCTCACTTGGGAGAGAGACAGACAGCGGGCGGCCAGATTTCCATGGGGTTCTGCCAAAAAAACGCTTTGCGGCTTATCACGGTGAGGAGCTTGGTTTTTGGGGGGTTTTTATGTTCTCCCTGTGCAGCTATAAATGCAATGGATAGGAGATGATGTAGCGGCTGGAGGGGTAACGTGGCAGGAATGTGCTGATCTCTCCTTTATCGGGGCTGCCTCTGTCGCCACATCTGCCGAGCAAATAGCGGGACATGGCCGCTTCGGCTAACGAGAGGAGCAGCTCAAACGTTGCGCCGTTCCTGCATCGGATGCAGTCCATCCGTTCTTGCTCGATTTAGTCCAGCCATATTTGACCTCGGATGCTCCTTACAGCTATAGAAGATCCCTGAACTACCTGGAAGAGTTTAATGATTAGTCTGAAAGTCCCCCATCTACCTTCAGTGAATCTCCAGCCATCTGCTGTGAGCTGATAACAGTAATTCACGCTTGTTCCAAACGACTTTCCTCTGATGCATGTCTGTCAGCACCCAGACGCTCTAATTTAATAACTCGCCTGTTGCTGCAAAGGCTGCCAGCATCTGCACAAAAACAGGCTCCATCTGAAGGATGGTGAAGGCTGACCATTCCATGCTGGAGCCTGCAGCCCAACGGACCTTGAAACTCTAAAGTAAAAACAAGGACACGAGGATAGGGTACACCCTGAAGAAGATGCCAAGTAGGACAAGCGAATGTGGAATATGGATGGATGGGTGTTATCCATTTAAATTTATCTGGGATTGAGTTTAGAGTCTTTGCCACAACCCAGCGTGTGTGGAGTTTGCATGTTCTACCTGTGTTGTCGTGGAGTTTCCTCTGGGTTCTGTGGTTTCCCCGTTTTCCTCCCATAGTCAAAAAACTCGCTAACGTGAAGTGGAGTTATCAAATTGCCCATTGGTGTGTCTGTGTCTCAGCGGTGCACGTGCCCTGCGATGGGTCTGCACCCTGTCCTGGAATACTTCCTGCCTTGCACCCGTAACTTAGACCCTGCACCCCCATGACTCTGCAGGTGGGGACAGCAGAGGTTCTTTGAGCCGTTGAATTTCAAAGGTGTGTAATGAATGCAGATACAGCATAGATAAGCCTAGCTGTCTATAGCAAACAGGATGATTGAGAATCTTAACATAAACTTTATTGATCCCAGCAAGAGGACAACAAACCAAACCTTTGGTATTTTGGCAAGTACTAGATACAGCAGCAGCAGTTGAACTGAAAAGCCTTTGCAGGTGGAGGAAAAGATCAATAGAAAAATCTGTGGTTTGGCAGCCTAATCTCTGTCATGAATGGTCCTCAGTTTTTTTTATATCATCTTAAATGCTTATGACAGTTATCTCTGCTATGTTCTCATACTTAATCTGTTTTTAATTGTAGCTGTACTTCAATGTGTTTAACCTAAAAAACTGAACTCCAGAATTCCTGAAGACTATTTAATTAGTTTATTGTTTTGTCAGTGTTATTGTTGGGAAGATGTTTTTCAAAATCCCTTGTGCTGAGTGTTACTGAAGCGAAGCGCGGATGGCAGCTGTATTTCTCAGCGGCCTGTCGTATTTACTGCTGCCCAGTTGTTCCTCTGCTGCTTTGCCAGTGCTCTCCTGTGACGGGGTGCATTACACACTTATCCGGCCTGGTGCTGGACTGAGCATCTTTTTTAGGCTGATTGCACTGTTGGCTACCTAGAAAGATTCAGGCCTTTTGAGGCTGGAGACCCCATTTGAAGCAGATGTGAATTGTTGGCTGTAGGATCAGGGCTTTTTAATTATTTTTTTTTTCCTTGAATACCATTTGGAAGCTTGTGTGATGCATGGTCACTCGTTTGCCTGAATCTGCTCTGGCTTGAATGGTTTTCATTTGGATTTAATTTGAATTAGATCGTCTGTGCCCCAACTGGTTGGGCGAGCCTTTATCTTCCGTTTAGCTGTCCAACATGGTGAAGCTTCAGCCCGATGGCCTGCAGGACGAGCCGTTATCTTCCTGTTGGCTGTCCGGCACGGTGAAGCTCCTGCCCATCTGCCTGCAGGTGCCTGGCAGCCTGTCTGTCATCCTGTTTCTCCCTCGGCTCCGTTGTTTTCCTCCTGGGATTAGGGTGAGTGATGTTTAATGTCACTGTGGTGTCAGATCGAGGGGCGTAGCCTGGGCCTCCAGCAAGTGCCTCGGCTCCTCTTCTGAGTACAAAACCATCACTACTAGGCATTTCTCCAACCACTTATGACGCAAATGCAGCTTCTGCCAAGAGTTAATAGATCCCTTTCGTGTTTTCATCCCCCCCCCCAAGTCTTTCATTTACTTGACTGTGTTATGTTTTTTTTTTCCCCATTCCTCCCCCCCCCCCCCCCCCCCGGTGTGATCTGAGGTATAGTACCACTTCTAGTTGAAAAGAGGTATTTGAAACAAACAAGCCTCTAAGCACTCTGTGAGTAACCCTTTAAATATCCATTATGAGACGTCACTTCTTTTACTGACACATAAATTAAGCAATAATTACTGTGTGAAGCGCATGGTTTGCAGTGTTCTTTGGGAGGTATAAATCAGGTACTGAATGTTCTGCTCCATCTCGTAGCAGGTGGCACGATGGTCAGGGCTATGGGGTTTATGAAGGGGGTTTAAATTTACTGGTTTGGGGAGGGTGAGCCCTTGCCGTCACTGAGGGCATTTGCTAGTTTGTGTAAATACCTGCTTCCAGAAAGCGGAAGAATGTAGGATGAGTCAGTCTATGGACTATCGGGCTGATTGAGGCATGGATCTATAGTCCTGCTAAGGAATAGCACAGTGTGCTGTACGCACCTTCGGAACATGAGACCTCATGTTCAGGACATGCATGTAGCAGGGGCGGCCTGTGACTCAGGATTAGCGCTTAATGTCCATGGCTGCTGGTTGAAATCCTGTGGTTTTGTAGTTGGGTCCTTCAGCAAGACCCTTAACACCAGTTGCTTCATGGACTGGGACTGGCTTTATGAATTGTATGTCACTTTAAATAAAGGCATCTGCCAAATAAGCAATGCTTTGCAGAAGTTGTGTACTGTCGTTGAGTAACAAATTATCACATATTTCAGTGCCCGTGATATGCATAGTGATATTTACATTTTTAGCTAATGAAAATGCAGAAGTTTTTGTCAAATCAATAGTTTGGGCACTGAAGCAATAGAGCAGGAACATTAATTGATTCTTTCTCTTTTATGTCTCTCTGGTCCCATGTAAAGTACCTTGTTTAGTTCTCAGACCCATCTTTGACGTCTTTCTCTCGCGGAATCCTCTCGTTGCTGTTCATTGACGGATCTCCATGCCATGTGCCGCCCATGATGGGATACGAGGACAAAGCTTCTCCCTTCTGTTGCCCTCCAGGTATGTAACTGCGCACACAGACACCGAAGATGATGAGGAGGTCCCAGCCCGCACTGGAGGGGTGGCGGACAAGCTCAGCCTTCTGCTGAAGAGGGTGGACGGTCTTCATAAGGGCTCAGATGCAGAGAAAAAGGAGGGCTTCAGGGCACTGGAGAACATGAAGGACAAGGTAACGGGCAGCAGAAAGTCATGTTAAACTTCAACACGGTTTGGTCTCAGCTTGATCCCGATCACTTTCTCTGGTTTAAATTTGTAATTGTCTGTCTGTTTTTAACTAGAGTTGGGAAATTTATCACATTAAAGAATAGCATTCTTTTTAAAGTCACGAGGCTTTATTATTTCTGTGATCGAATTAATGCATTTGATATCCATGATATCCAACGGGAGAACAGTATGAGCAAACCTATTATATAATATTCTTCCTGGTAGTAAACAACGCAAGACTTTATGTTATGATGTTACACAGAATCCCAGAAATCAAAACATTCATTTAGCATCTCAGGGGGAAGCTGATGATACATTTTATCTAATTTTAAGAGTTGCCAGACAGACATACATAGTATAAAAATATCATTATTTCTTTTATTTAATTGAAGTGTTATGCCTTAAAATTTAAGATCTTCCATGTTATTAAGTTCACTTTCAGTGGTTGTCAGGCTTCTGTTTTAGAGCCATTTGCCAAATAGGTTTTAGATTGATAATTTGGCTGGAATTAGTGTGTCAGTCCATCTTTTGAGTACCTGCAGTTACAGTATATGTGGTATATGCCTTTTCAGTTTCTTTGCGAAAGCATTGAAATTTAGAGATTTAATGTGTAGGTATTTATGATTATAAGTTTTAATGTTATGTGTGATTAATTACGATTAATCACAGAAAACTGTGTGATTAGTATGTTTTTAACTTATTCAAAGCCTTGTGGTGCTTTTCCACTGACCATACCTGACATGTACTGTGAACTGGCAGTTTTCCAATGAAAAGTATACGAGCCGTACCTGGACCGAAACCGTGCTGACATGGGCCAAAACTGGAACTAGACTGAGCTGGTTGCATCACCACCATCTGATTGGTCGAAATACGTGGAGAAACCGGTATTCTGTGCATGGATTATCTGAAGGAATGGACTGGAATAGAATGTTTTATTGTCATTGCACAGATGTACAGTGAAATTTATTGTGTCCCCTGAACAAAGTATACTAAATACAGAATCTTCCAAAAGATTCAACAAATATAAATGCTCTGCATATGAAGCTACACACACGCTTAATAATAGTAATAATAGTAATAATAATAATAGATACTTTATTGATCCCTGTGGGGAAATTCTCTTTTTTTTTAATTATTATTTATTCTTTAATTTTATTTTATTTTAGAATTTTGGGGAAATTGTCTTTCTGTAGGTGAGAGTAAGCTGGGTGCAAACGGCAGCCACCCATAGCAGCACTCTAAGGGTTAAGGGCCTTCCTCAAGGCAAAAACACAAGCATTAATATAAATCAATAAGATAAAAAGTGTATATTCTGTATATTATTCATTATTAGTAGTACCACACATCGCAGTGCATTCTCAAGAACTCGGAACTACTTCACAAAGCACTATGGAACAGCTGAACGGAATAGATAAGTAATGTAAATTCATGCAAGCAGAAGTTAATTCCGCTAGCGTTTGATACTTGCTTAACGTGGCGATTCTCACAGACAAGCTAGTGGAAATTAGCACACTTTAAAAAAATTAAATAAAAACTGCACATTGTAAATCATGATGTACACCGTGTGAACAGTAAACACCTCCAAAACCTCGTTCTCCAAACCTGCCAATGCCTTTACAGAGCCGACCCTTTTCCGTGCAGCTGGAACTGTGTTCTAACTACTCCCTCCGCGGCATGACTCGGGTTGGGTCGGTTCTTCTATGCCAGTGGAAAAGGACCATAAAGTTTCACCTTAAACTGTATACAGCAGTCTTCAGAGAGGAGGTGGGCCTGCTGTTCTATGCATGACTTGGTTAATTTGACAGGTGGTTAATTCATGGTCCTCTGTCTGCAGTTTGGAGAGAATGAGCAGCTCCTCTGGCGTCTGGCTCGGGCGTACAAGGACTGCCATGATATGGCCACTAGCCTCGAGGACAAGAAGTATTATGCCGAGGCCGGTAAGCCGGCTTCATGTCAGCTGCTGTATCTGTGGAACCTCATGCAGCCTGTGGATCCCCCGGTTCTAGTTCTAGATTTTTTTGACAAGTCAATGTAAAGCACCTTATTTAGAATCGTACTTAGGTAACCTCCTTAATGCTGTCTGTTTGTGTTGTGTTTCTACTATCACTGGTTGTTTTTTATTTCCATCCATCCATTTTCTGAAATCGCTTATCCTATTCAGGGTCATGGGGGGGTCCGGATCCTATGGGTGCAAGGCAGGGCCCGTCGCATGGCACGTTCACACACCATTCACTCACGCGCACACCTATGGGCAACTGGGGCACATTTTTGGAGTGTGGTGGGAGGGGGACCAGAGTACCTGGAAGAAACTCCACAATAGCACAGTGAGAACATGCGAATTCCCGACACATGGAACCCTGGCGGAGACTTTAACTCAGGTCCCAGAGGTGTGAGTGCTAATCACTGCACCACCACGCCATTCTATTTTCTATTTCTTTAATCATTTTGGTAACACTTTACTTAAGGCCATGTTTGTAGTAATTTATAAACACATTCATAATACATTCATAATAAATATGGCTATAAATATTTATTTAAATATATAAATATAAAAAAGCACAACACATTATAGCTATGTTTATTATGATTGCTTTGTGAAGCTCTCATCTATAATGCACTATAGATACTGACCATTATAATGTATTATAAAGGTATTAGAATTAAGGATACATTGTACTGCATTATAAAGGTATCTATAGTGCACTATAGATGCAAGCTTCATTAAGCAGTCATAATGCATAATAAATATGGCAATAATGTGTTATGCTTTTTATAATGACTATTTATAGCCAGGTTTATAATGCTTTATGGATGCACTATAACGCATTATGAAAGTGTTTAGAAATTACTAAAATTATGGCCTTTAAAGTGTTACCAAAATTTGTAACCCTTATATTTAACCTAGTTTTTGCCATGAATATAGCTCTAGCTGCTTGCGTGGTATGAAAACTCTATTAACTCATCCGGCCTGTGAACAGGGACACGTTTCACCTCCGTTTGTTTGTGATCTTCACTTCAAGGTTGTAAACTCACTTTAGGGGTTTAGCAGGGAAATTGTGGGTAATAAATTCCTTAGAACTCTTAAGTGCGGATATGCACCGGAGCTCCTGCTGTGAAACTAACGCGGCGTCTTAAGTGGTTAATATGCACCTATGGGTTGGGAGGCTGGTCATGTGGGGGCTTCAGTCAAACACACACCTTTCCCAGGGGTGAGAGGAGCTGCCTAGCCTCTTCCTGTCCTTATATAACCACGGAAATGCGTCATGTGCTGGGATTGCACATAAATTATCATTGACTGAGCCAGCTCCTCTGTGGGTTTCCGCAGAAGCCTGAGATTTTTAACATTTTTGTCATGTTTCGATCAGAATAAGTGTCAGTCGCCGCAGGTTGGGTGAATTCAATAAAACACGCTTTGCCCTGTGATGCCTACAGTTCCAACATACCACATTCTGAAGTTTTAGTGCATCAGGTTGAAATATTAGACTAGATTCGCAATCACTTGGAACGGATATGATTAAAGCCCATATGTGGAGCTCATGATTTCTTGTTAACCTGATATGATTCGCTTATCTCTATCTGCTCGCTTGTACAATTATTTTCAATTTAACTTTCAAAACTGCAGGTCATGAACCATAGACCCCAGTTGATTCGCTGAGATCCCCACCTCTTTTGCCTTTTGTTAACATTTAGTTTTAGGTCTTGCAGAGAATTACTATAAAAGATCTGTGGTCACGGGGCACTACTGAAATACTGTAATATAATCATCACGATTTAGAGTAACAGTAAGTGGTGTTTGCAGACCATCCAGAGTGCAGGTCTCGCTCCCTTGGTTGGCCATCCTTGATGTGTTCTTTGCAAACTCCCCTCAGTCTGCCCACGTTTTACGAAGCGTGGGCCCTGCAGTCTTTTTTAATTTCTGTTGTATTTGAGGCTTTTTTTTGTATTTTGCAGAGCGTATAAATAAAATTACATGCAGTGCTCACAGAAAGTCTTGAGATACTTGCTTAATTCAGTAACAATATTGCAAATTTATTGCTTTTTTTTTTTTTTTTTGTTGTTTATGAAAAATATTTATCACATTAGAAACAACCAATAACGTAAAACATTCATTTCACTTCTAAAAGTGCTGTTCTGAGTTAAAAAGTTCATTAACAAGCAGTCTCACTGGATAGTTTTTGATTAGTAACACCTTTGCAATAACTTGGAGCCAATGACTGCAATTGCAATTAATAGCAGAATGGCAAGAATATAACTGAATGAGTAAAAAAAAAATTACAATAATAACAAAATGTCTCTTATATGTTAAACATTGCTTGTCAATGGACTTTTGTTATGAAACCAATAAATCTGCGAGATTTTTTACAGAATTAAGGAAACATCCCAAGACTTTGTGAACACTGTAGTAGTGTGTTGTGTGGAGCTGAGGATCATCCGTCGTATCTTACAGGAAAAACCATTGGAAGGGAAGCTGTCACGGTGAACCCGAGATCTGCCGAATGTCACCAATGGTAAGTTTGCATTGCCCTTATTTTAAAACGTTTAACACCTAGATTATTGCGTAATATGTCCACTTTCCCTCATATACAGTGTTCATATTCACTATGACCAGAAAACTACAACTGTTAGTGTAAAAGCAAAGTTTACAAGGTTTTGTTCTGTGGTGTGGAGGCGCATATGGGAAAACTCTATTTTATAAAAATCCTTGACTGCAATGAAAAAACTGAACAAATTTTTTGTTTGGTTACTTATGGTTATGGTTAGGGCTGGGTAGGGGTTAAGGTTGTCATAGTTGACATTAGCATTTTTCCCATAGAAATGAATGAGCGGTACCCAAAAAGATATGATTGCACGACTGTGTGTGCGTGCGCGTGTGTGTGGTCATGCACACATACACACAGGTGCAGATACACAAACATGTACAAGAACAAGCATGCAGTCCTGTACAAAATAAATATAGGACTGCCAGTGATTGTGTGATGTAACTGGTCACCACTGCAACAGCTCTTACATTCTTCATTACCAAAAAAGAACATCTAACAGTTGTCATATTTAATGATATATCAATTCCCTGTATCAGTGTCTTCATTATGCTTGCCCTTGAATAATTGCTGGAGGTGCCCTTCTTGATTCCTGGCTGTCCTGATTCTCACCAGTTTTGTGCGGTGAGAGAAATAGCATTCAGGTCTTGCTGGCTCTTCATTAGAGCTTGGTGGTGCACCTCTGCACCTCTCACCAGTCTTTTGGGCACCTGAGCTCTTCTCACCAAACAGCCGACTCGATGACGGCAGCCTATGTCTCTTTGGAGAATCCTTTCTGCCGAATGAGTGGTTGCTGAGGGAGTCCTGAAGGAGACACATTACCCGCATTTTGAAGGAGTGTCAGTCACGGCACTAAGGCCATGTGGTGCGTTTCCCTGATGGTGATCCGGCTCTCAGGATCCTCATTGCTGTGGACCCGAGGGGCTGGACCAGGCCAAGGGGACTCCCACGTAATGCCTGGCTGTTGGCAGAGAGATGGCTGTTTCCGAAGGGTGGGATTAGATTGTGTGTCTGCCTGGGGGGGGGGGGTCATCGACCGGGATCGCAAAGCGTTTCGTTGCGTGATGGGCTTGGAAGCACACTGCACCAGTGCATGCTCCCCAACCTGACCTGCCATGTAATGGGAGAGTACCTCTGCTGGGTACACCATAACAACTGCCCTCTCAATTCCACCTGCAGTCCTGAGCAGAGGGGTGTACACATCCCCAGTCATTGTTTAACAGGACATGAGTACAGTAAAGGCGTGCCGAGCACATTCATCCTTCATTTGAAGTGCTTTTTCAAGTTTCAACGTGTCTGCTTGTCATGCAAAAACTACTTGAAGAAACATGTGGTCATTTGGGCTGATTAAGCCCAGTAATTATCCCGTAGCATTATTATAGGGCATCGTAGCTCTTTTGGAAGAGTTGGCGTTTTGAGATCAGCAATTCCCACAATACATTTGTGCAAGTCCTGTACTGTAGCTTGATCTCTATTAGATCAACAGAAGGGCCATGCTGCAAGTCTGATGATGCATTTATCCTGTTCTTTGGCTTTGTTGTCTTGAAACTGCAGGCACTGTTTATTAAAACCATTCAAATCGATTAATTATGGACAAAATAAATGAGCAAAGCTATATTTTGAGGTTACTGAATGTTTCTCGCAGAGGTATCGCCTTTATTATTATTATTACTACTCCCCTTGCAAATTCAAGACGCAAAGAATGTTGCAGCTTTACTAAGTCATACAAGGACGACGTTTCATTGGTCTCCAGTTCTTCATCATTGGTCTCCAGTTACGTCAATGGACAGCATTTTGCAGTTGGAGAAATGAGAAATTGTCCTGGGTTCTGCTGTTTTCTGTGTTTCTGTCTGACATTCATCTTCTAACCAGTAAAAATGATGATCTTTTATAAGAAACTGTTTCAAATTCCTACTTTGCAAAGGTGGATGATATGTATAGTGTTTTGAAAGGTTATGTTACAAGTAGGAGGTCTGTATGGACTGAGATCAAGCGTGTGTGTGTGTGTGTATTAGCTGATGTAAAAATAGTGTATTATGTGATTATTACCTGAGGTGACAAAGCATTTCAGGTGGATTGTAAAGGTAAAATGTGTTGTTAGAGGAAGTCATTTTTCCTTATCTGAAAAGTGGAAATAGATAAAGTGGAATACACAGTAACCATTTTGGTGCCCTGAAATGAAGGGGAACTGTGAGTAAAAAGTGTTGTAATTTCTACATGGTAACCATAATGTACACAAATAGCTTTAAAGTCTGGAATGTGCATTTTAATCACATCTGCATTGTTTGCTTTGAAATTTTAAACTGGAGCAGAGGGGTAAATCAAGGAAAAATGTGTCTTTGTCCCAAATGTCATGGAAGGCACTGTACCTTCCCCTCTTAGCGTTTATTTTATAACTATTATGTTCAATTTGAGATTAAATTGAATTCTGCCTTGGAAGCATAGAGCTTTTTCAGTCCATCTGAGCATTGATACTTGGATTGATACTTGGATTAGATTGCAATGTACTACCAGAGAAAAGAGCAATTTCAACATTTTTGAAAGTGAACTATTAATTTATCCACTGGGGAAACTGGTAAGAGTGGAGTGATAGTCTGTATGCTCACGGTGGGCTGGTCGTCAGTTCAGGTCGGGCCTCCCGGCTACTGGGAGATTGGTGCATGATGACAGTAATAAAATGGTTGTAGATGAGGGGTCTGTATGTCCTGCAGCAGCAGCTGATATCACAGCGGAGGCCTGTGACCTCAGCCTAGTCTGATCAGGGGCTCAGTAGTGATGGCAGTGATGCTGCATTGAAATTGCAGGGTGCTGATGCAATATGTGGACCTACAGTGTAACCATTTCCATAAATGTCTGCAGTGCTTATTATGTCATTCTGCTTGGACATTTACACCTGCATGATAATGCTTCCATGCTTTTATTCGTAAGTTCTGCTGCTGAATTATATGAGGCTTTAATGGTGCGTTTTTACGGCGGTCTTTTGTGCCGCATGGCCAGGGTCATGTGACATTTGACACAGTCGGACAACCTGCACTTTGGGAATTATCCCCCTCTGACGTGTTACAGTTGGCATACTGTGCGTTTACATGGCTAAAAACGCTTTACTACAGTGAAACTTCTAGTTAATCATTGCTGCATTCATGATAATGAATATGGAAAAGTTTGTTCTCCAGTGATGATGGTGATTGTGGATCCATATAAGAACATAAGAACATAAGAAATTTACAAA